TGGCAATTTTGGTGTGTACGGGGGAGTCCCAGAATACAGCCAGACACAGTGTATCTTTGCATTCAAGAAGTACGCGTGGTATTTTCGCACAGTCGGAAACAGAGGTGTCGTTCGTGACAGCGTCGGCCTGCCCCGTGTGGTTGGTCGTGGCAGGTCCTGAAGAGGATAGACAACCACACGCCGAAACGCTGGAGACGGACTGGACCAGGGGTGCCCGAAAGAGTGGGCATATTCAGTCCTAGACCAGAAAGGGAACCAAAGAAAGTTGCGCAGTCAACCGTTTCTCGGCGACCCTGGCGCGGTTGTCCGTTGTCAGGCGAGCCTGAAGCGGGTGTACACATAATGCCTTGTATGTTGCACTAGTATGGATATGTTGGCGAGTGACTGGTTATCAGCCGAAAATCTCTCCAGGAACTCGTCTTCGGTGGTGCGGCCTTTTTCCCAACAGTCAGAGAGGTAGCAACGGTGGCTTTACCAAAAAGGGGGCTTCGCAGGTGCGCGTTCTGATTATCCACGAGCGCCAAGCGCAGTGGTCGGGTGGCTCACGCCCCTGGGCTGTGGTTAGAATCCGCTCATGGAAAAGGGGGCAGTCGCCTGGCTTAGCTGCGGTTGCCGGCGGTGCCACGAAAGAGGGGGCAGTTGTTTCCTCCCTTCTTCGGAGGCCAAACCAGAAGGTTCTCAGAGCCTGGCTTGACATCATCTGGCAAGTTTGGTGTGTACGAGGGAGTCCCAGATTACACCGTGTATCTTTGCATTCAAGAAGTACGCGTGGCATTTTCGCACAGTCGGAAACAGAGGTGTCGTTCGTGACAGCGTCGGCCTGCCCCGTGTGGTTGGTTGTGGCAGGTTCTGAAGAGGATAACCAACCACACGCCGAAACGCTTGAGACGGACTGGACCAGGGGTGCCCGAAAGAGTGGGCATAGTCAGTCCTAGACCAGAAAGGGAACCAAAGAAAGTTGCGCAATCAACCGCTTCTCGGCGACCCTGGCGCGGTTGTCCGTTCGAGTGTACAACAATTGCCTTGTATGTTGCACTCGTATGGATATGCTTGGCGAATGACTGCGGATGTATATGCATATAATATCGGAGTGTTGGGCCCCCCGGCCGCGCCTGGGACACAATGACAAATGAGGCCACCCTCTGGGTAACCCAATTTGGCCCCCGGGGCCTGGGGCCTGTTTTCGGTCCTTTGCGGGGCGGTTCTACCCCTGGGGGCGCTCCAGGAGCATCCACGATCGCCAGACGGCCTAAGAGGCTTCCAAGACGACCCCATAGCGCCCCAAGAGCGTTCGAAAACCGTTTAAGGTGGCCTGAAGACAGCCCAAGAGGCTCCCAGGAGGACCCCCACGAAACAAAAATCGTCCCATTGCCTTTTTGGAAAACATAGAATTTTAGCATCATCGCTTGTTTGGTTTCGAGAGCGTCCAACGTGGCCCACGAAGCCCCAAAGGTCGCTCCAAGACGGCCCAGGAGGCCCCCAAGAGGGCCCCAAGACGGCTGGAGAGAGCCCAGTGACGGCCCAAGAGCGGCCTCAAAGAGGCCCCACAAGGCTCCCAAGAGAGCCCCGAGAGAGCCACAGGAAGGCCACCACAAAACCCCAGGAACGCCCCAAGACGGCCCCGGCCTCCCAAGATTACCCAAGAGCGCTCCAGGACGGCCATCGAGGGCCCCAAATGAGCCCCAAGAGGCCCCAAGAGGGCCGCCAAGAAGGCCAAGTGATACCATTTTGTGTGATTTTCTGTTGCTTTGGCGTTTTCGCCTTTTGCGGTCTCTCAGCAAGTCACGGCGGCCTCAAAGGCATCCCCCCGATCGCCCCAAGATCCCCAAGACAGCTCAGGAGGCGCCCAAGACGACCAATGAGCGCCCGACGAATCGCTCCTGCATTCCTCAGTGGCACATCGGCAATTTGCGATGCGCGTCCCTTGTGCACGGCTAGAATCTTAGCGCGCGCGAAGCGCGCGCGTGTGATTCGAATATAGATGTACACACATAAACGCATGTATGTATGTATGTCTGTCAGTATGTGTGTATGTATGTATGTATGTATGTATGTATATATTTATATATATGCATATATACATGCACATGCATATGTACATAAACATCTACATGCACATGCATATACACATGTTTATAGTTATATGTATATTTACATGTATATTTACACATATATACATTTATGTATATGTAACATCATTATGTTTGTGCATGTGTATATGTAGCTGATGATGCATACGTCTATGTATATGTATGTGTACATGCATATGTAGACACATATACATATGCAACTCTATTCGTTTACGCAAGTCCATATTTAACGGCGCATGCTATTGTACATGTGTCTGATATGTGTGTGCATATGTATTTGCATTGTATATGTATACGTATATGTATGTGCATATGCATATATGTGCATGCGTATGTACATCCATATGTATGCCTACATATTTACATATCGGTATATGTACTTATACATGCACATGTATATGTGCATCTATATGAATGTACATGTATATGTGTATGTATAGGTCTGTGTGTCTGCATTTGTTTCTGTATAAAAATGTGCATATGTGTATGTATATGTATATGTACATGTGTAGGTGTATGTGTCTGTGCCCGTGTCTGTGTCTGTGTCCGTGTCGCTGTCTGTGTCTGTATATGTGTGTATGTGTGTATGTGTGAATGTGTGTATGTGTGTATGTGTATGTATATGTATGTGTAGATGTATTGTATGTGTATATGTAAATGACACTGTATATGTATGTGTAGGTTTGTGTGTATATGCATGTATATGCATATCTATATGCACACGGACATGCACACGTATATGTTTGTGTACGTGTATATGTATATCTACATGCATGTATGTATGTATGTATGTATATATATGTATATATATATATATGTATGTATGTGTATATAGATGTATTTTTGTAAATCTGCACATGCATAGACACCTACATACATATATGGGAGATCCCGGCCCCAGGGCCCCGGGCTTGCCCTTCCCTTGTACGACGGTGCCCCCCCGCCTCGGGGCGCTCTCGGGGCGGCCCCCCGAGGTCCCAGAAAGCCCGAGAGTCTTCCAAGACCGCCCAACATAGGGTGCGACTGGCCCTCGAGGCCCCCCAAAGCGCCCCATGAGAGCTCCAAGACGGCTCCAGACGACACGGCGACAACCCAAAGGCGCCCCAAGACGCCCCAAGAGGCCCCCCAAAAGGCCTCCCAAGAGGCCCTCAGGAAGCACAAACTTTCCCATTCCCTTGAGGCAACGTATATTATTAGCATATTCGCCTCTTGGGCTTTCACAGCGTCCACGACGGCCCAAGAGGCTCCAGGATGGCCCAAGAAGGTCCCAAGACGACCAAGGAGGCCCCCAACATGGCCCAAGAGAGCCCCAGGACAGGCCGAAGAGGGGTCCCAGAGGGGGCAAGCCAACTTCAAATTTCGAGCCTTGGTCCCAGGAGGCCCCAGGAGGCCCCAAGAGGCTCCCAAGAGGCCCCAAGAGGCTCCAAAGGGGCCCCAAAGAGTCCTGGGGCCCCAGGAAGCACCCAGGAGATCCTCAGAAGGCCCCGAACGGGCCTCCTGAGAGACTCCCCTAGAAACCTGAAGGTACATTTACTTGAGATCTCTGGTCCACAAACTAGGCCCGTTCCTGGGGCTCCACCTGATCGGCACAGGTTTTTCCTTTATGTGTATGTGTATGTGTGTATGTACGTACGCATGTCTGTGTGCATGCACGATTGTATGTTTGTGCTCATGTATGCGTGCGTGTAGGAGGACCGGCGGCGGTGGCAGCGGCGGCGGCGACGATGACGATGCTGACGTGGGCCAGAGTCCTCAGGGATGCTTCTTGGGCTCTCTTCGGAAGGCTTTCGGGGCCTCTGGGGCCTTTTGTGAGCCTCTTGGGGGCCTTTTGGGCGCCTCTTGTGGGCCTCTTGGGAACCTCCTGGGGGCGTTTTGTGGGCCTCTTGGATACCTCTTGGGGTCTCCTGGGGGGAGCCTCTCGGGGCCGAGGGCTCGAAATGTCCGTTTGGGTCACCCGTCTGGGCACGCTCTTGGACCAGTCTTGGGGGCCTTTTGGGCAGTCTTGGAGGTGTTTTGGGCTGTCATTGGGTCCTCGGGCCGTTTTGAAGCCCTCTTGGCGGCCCCTTGGGCCGTCTTGGGGTGATCTTGGGGGTCTCCTTGGCCATTTTGGAGCGGCGGGAAGCGGAGAAGGGGAGAACGTCAAAATCCTCCAAACACTTGTGGGAAATCTAAGACTTGTGCCTCTTGGGGCCCTCTCGGGAGTTTTCTTGGAGGCCTCATGGAGCGTCTCGGAGGCCACTTTGGCAGTCCTGATGTATTCCAGCTTCGGATGGCAGCAGCGACGGGATTTTCGGAATGCTTGCGCGTTGCACTCAATGGTAACACACGGCCGGTGCAGCACGTTATACATACATGAGGCCAGCTGAGGGCCACCCGTCGCACGAACGCTCGACATTAATCGAACACTGCGCGCCTCCACGCCGTGCGTTATAATATGTATATTTACTTTTTCTATTCGGATTCGTATAAGTATTCGCATTCTTATGAGTATGCTGATGCGTATTATTATTGTTAGTACTACTATTGTCATACAGTTTTTTTGGTGTTTGTTGTTTTTGCTATCATCAGTAGCATCATTGTTTTCATTATCGCTATTGTTCATATTACTATTATTTATTGTTGTTGTTAACAGTACTAGTATTTACAAGTTGAATAATCATTCGTGTTCGTACCAATAGTAGTATTTGTACTCCTGTTATTGTTGTTATGGTTACATCCTCTGTTTCAGCAAAAGACAACTCCATGATACGCTCCGCCTCCTCCGTCTTCCTCCTTTCCTCCGTCCTCCTCCTCCCCTTCCTCCCCCTCCTCCTGCTCCTCATCCTCCCTTTCCTCTCCTCCTCCTCCTCCTCCTCCTCCCTTCTCCCTCGTCTTTTCCTTCCCCCTCGTCGTCGTCCCCCTCCTCCTCCCTCCACAGGACTCCCTCCTCCTCTCTCCTCCCTCCTCCCTCTTCCCTCCTCCCTCCTCCCTCCTCCCTCCTCCAGCCGCGGTCCCAGCCAGATGCTCTGGGTGAAGGTACCGTGCACCCACGAGACTCCCCAGACCGCGGCAACGCGCTGGCCGGCCCCAGGCCCCACCGCCCCCGCACACGCCGTGGGCGCGGCGGACCCCCCCTCCTTCCGGCAGGCCTCGCCCCCTGCTGCTGTCCGGGGAGCCCGCGGGCCCGAGCGGCAACGCCGCCTCAGCCGATGCAAAGCACGACCCGTTTTTCCTTCGAGTCGCAGGCCCAATGGGATCCACGATGGCCCCAACAGCTCCCGAGAGACCCCGCCCTCGAGGACAAGCTCCCGGGCAGCGGCGCAGCGTCCACGAGTCCCCACGAGGCACGTCAGGGATACTGCCACCACCCAGCAGCGCCGAGAAGGCAGCGCACAGGCGGGCAGAAGCCCGCGACGGGACAGCATCGGCTGGCGGAATGAGCAGAGCGAGGAGAAAAGAGTATGCCTCAATTGCTGCCACCTTGGGATCTCTTGGAGGGCCCTTGGGGCCGTCCCCAAAGAGTTCTGGAACCATCTCGGGCCGTCTGAACACGCTCTTGGAACCCTCTTGAGCCGTCTTGGACACCCCCAGGCCAACCCCAGGCTGAGGAGACAGACTTGGAATGTGTAGCGCGCTTTCCCGAAACAGCGCTTGCGCTTAGAGTTCTCATTGCTCCCACTAAAAGTGCGGCCTGCGCGCCAGTCCGGCCGGCTTGTGGCCGCCCATCGCCGCCCGACGCCGCACCATTTTGGTCGCGATCTTGTGTGCCAGGCTGGCATCTGGAACAGTCCGCCGGTCCGGCCAGCTCGCGGCCGGCTCGTGGCCGCCCGTCGCCGTTGTCCGTCGCAGCTCGTCGCCGCCATTCAACGATGTCGAGGTAGACCCTCTCTCCAAGATCCCTTTCTCGTAGGCCCCTACAAGGGGTCATGTCCGCTGCCCCGTTGGAGATAGCCGTGCGAACATCCTGAAGCGCGCCAGAACACCATTCTCGGGACTTCGACGCCACGAGTGAACCTGACTGTTACGTCTTGGCGATCCTGAATCATGCCGGAACACCATTCCTGGGACTTCAACACCGCGAATCAACGTAACTGTTGCGCCCCGACAGTCCTGAATCGTTCCAGAACGCAGTTTCTGGTACGTTTAAACAATGAAAACAAGTAGAGTTCTTGCAATTTTTTACAACGAATGTGCGCGGCGCTACGGCGAGTACCACATTCTGAAAAGGACCCGCCCTCAATCCGTGAAACTTCTGAGAATGTTTAACACACGAGTGTGTTCGCGGCGCTGAGGCGAGAGCCACATTTTGAAAACCACCCGCCCTCAATCCGTGAAGCTCTTGTGACATGTTCACACGAATGTGCGCTGCGCTAGGGCGAGAGCCACATTTTGAAAGTGACGCGCCCTCAATCCGTGAAGCTCTTGCAAATGTTTAAAACGAATGTGTGCGCGGCGCCAAGGCGTGAGCCACATGTTGAAAACCACCCGCCCTCGATATGTGAAACTCTTTGCATTTTTCAATTCGAGTGTGCGCGGCGCTACGGCGACAGCCACATGTTGAAAATGACCCACCCTTAATTCGTGAAGCTCTTGCACATGTTGAAAACGAATGTGCGCTGCGCTAAGGTGAGAGCCACATTTTGAAAACCACCCGCTTTCAATCCGTGAAGACTTAGTGCTTGCATTTTTTTGAATTCGAGTGTGCGCGGCGCTACGGCGAAATCCACATGTTGAAAACCACCCACCCTCAGTCCGTGAAGCTCTCGCGCATGTTAACATGAGTGTGTTCGCGGCGCTAAGGCGAGAGCCATTAGCCACATTTTGAAAGCCACCCGCCCTCAATCTGTGAAAATTTTTGCGTGTTTTGAATTCGAGTGTTCGCGGCGCTACGGCGAGAGCCACATGTTGAAAATGACCAGCCCTCAACGCGTGAAGCTCTTGCACACGTTTAGGAAGAATGTGCGCTGCGCAAGGGCGAGAGCTCCTTTTTCAAAAGTACCTGCCCTCAATCCGTAAAGCTCTTCGCAAATGTTTAGAGCGAATGTGCGCGACTCTAGGGCGAGAGCCACATTTCAATCCGTGAAGCTCTTGCACATGGTTAAAACGAATACGCTTGCTTCGCCAAGGCGAGAGCCACATTTTGAAAACCACCCGCACTCCATCTTTAAAGCTGTTATCCATGTTTAAGCATCAGGATCATAAGCGGTGAGGAAGTCTCGGGCGAAACCCCCGACCCGCCCTTTTGACTGGCCTCCTGGGTGCGACAGGGAGGAGTTATCTAGAATCAGGAGTTTGAGTGGAGGAGGGAGAAGGGAGGAGGGAGGAGGGGGGAGCAGGGGCGAGGGAGCAGGGGCGAGGGCAGGAGTTCGTGGGGCGCCCCCCCCTTGCCCCGCGCCGCGAGAGGAACTTCTCGCAGAGCCTGCTCGCCCTGGACCGCGGGGGCGCCGCGCCGGTCGAGGGCCGCCCGGTGTGGCCGCAGGCTGAGGGGGGATGCGTGGAATTCCAATCGCCCGCTGAGCGCGGATCGGGGCGCGGGCGTGCTCGCGTCCTAGAAGCCAGCGGCGAGCAAGGGGGGCAAGTGAGAAGGGGCGGGCCTTCTCAGAAGGCTCGGGAGGCCTCGCGCCTTCTGGGAAGTTCCTTGCGCCTTCCCGAAGACGCCGGAAGCTTCTCAGAAGGCGCGAGGGCTTCTGAGAAGCCCCGCCGCCTTCTCAGAAGGCCTTCTCGTTCCTCCCCCCTCGCTCGCGGCCGAAAAACAAAAAAATCGCGACGGGAGGTTTTGCACGGTTCTGGGCCTCTGGGGGCCCTCGCCGGGCCCCAGGGCCGTCAGAGATCGACTCGGGTCAGAGGCGACTACGTATAGGGGCGAACAGCCCAGGGGAGGACACTAATTCCATCTATCGAGGTGCGCCGATGATCCGTGTCTTCGAAGAGGCTCCCGGGCGAACACGTGTACGGCCCGCCCCTGGGCTGCTCGCCCTCTTGGCTGATCGCCGCCGAGAAAAAGTCACGACGGGAGGTTTTTTGCGCGGTTCTCTTGGCCTTTGGGGGCCCTCGCCTGTCCCCGGGGCCGTGAGGAGGAGGAGGAGGAGGAGGAGGAGGAGGAGGAGGAGGAGGAGGAGGAGGAGGCGAGGAGGAGGTGGAGGAGGAGGAGGAGGAGGAGGAGGAGGAGGAGGAGGAGGAGGAGGAGGAGAGGAGGAGGGGAGGAGAGGAGGAGGAGGAGGAGGAGGAGGAGGAGGAGGAGGAGGCGGAGGAGGGGAGGAGGAGGAGAGGAGGAGGAGGAGGAGGAGGAGGAGAGGAGGAGGAGAGGAGGAGGAGGAGGGAGGAGGAGGAGGAGGAGGAGGAAGGAGGCGGGAGGAGGTGGAGGAGGAGGAGGAGGAGGAGGAGGAGGAGGGGAGGAGGAGGGAGGAGGAGGGGAGGAGGGGAGGGAGGAGGGAGGAGGGAGGAGGAGGAGGAGGAGGGAGAGGAGGAGGAGGAGGAGAGGAGGAGGAGGAGGAGGAGGAGAGGAGGAGGAGGAGGAGCGCCGGCCCCGGGGAGCGAAGAGGAGTCGGGGCTTCGGGGGCCGCGCCCCGAGAGAGGCAGGACGTCGCCGGTGCAGGAGGGCAGAGAGCACAGACACAATTCGGCGTTGATTCCCCAGAAGACAAGGGAAAATGCAGTGGGAGCTCGACCACAAGAAGTCTTCCACGAGAAGCCCAGCCATGAGACCCCAGGATGTCCATTGACTTTTGGGTGTGGGAACGTCACGCTTTCCAAAGCAAAGCCGTCGAAACCCAAGAAACCCAGGGCACCCTGGAGGCAAGCAAGTGTTTCTTGGCATGGGTTTCCACTGTATGGGAAGTGGGGGGGAAGACAAACACCCAGAAAATATGGGAAAGTATGGGGAATCCTCTTGTTGGTGTCTATTTATTTGTGTGTCCCAGGGGCCCTTCAAATTGATCGCCGATAGGGTGTGGGCTGTTTTCGATGGTTCTCGGCGGTTTTCCAGCCTCGAGGCGTTTTTTTAAAGCAGCTGCGCCTCGTCGAGAACGGCCACCGGAGAGCCGAGTTATGACCCGCAAACTGGACGACTGGATTCACTGGGGGTGGGGGTGGAGGGTTTCTCCGAAGGGCTTAGGCGACCCGTCCTCCTCCTCCTCCTCCTCCTCCTCCTCTCCTCCTCCTCCCTCCTTTCCTCCTCCTCCTCCTCCTCCTCCTCTCCTCCTCCTCCTCCTCCTCTCCTCCTCCTCCTCCTCCTCCTCCTCCTCCTCCTCCTCCTCCTCCTCCTCCTCCCTCCTCCTCCTCCTCCTCCTCCTCCTACTCCTCCTCCTCCTCCTCCTCCTCCTCCTCCTCCTCCTCCTCCTCCTCCTCCTCCTCCTCCTCCTCCTCCCTCCTCCTACCTCCTCCCTCCTCCTCCTCCTCCTCCTCCTCCTCCTCCTCCTCCTCCTCCTCCTCCTCCTCCTCCTCCTCCTCCTCCTCCTCCCCTCCTCGGGTCGCCTACGGCCCCAGGGGGAACCGTCCAGGGGGGGATAGGCCCAGGGGGCGACGCTTCGACTCCCAGTCGCCCATTCATCGCAGGGAAGGGTCGGACAGCGCACCCTGCCCAGGACTGTGCGGATCCGCTACCGTTAAGTCGGGCCTGTCCCTCTACAGGAGGAATATACTCAAAGATAGTGAGACATAGTCTGGGGACGATGTTTGGATTTTTTGATTATGTGTGGCACATTTTTTGTTTGTTTTTATTTAATCGCTTCGCTCATTCCGCCGGCCCTGGAGCGCTATTTGGGGCCTCTTGGGGCCGTCTTGGGGGCCTCTTGGGGGCTTCTTGGGAACGTCTTGGGGCTCCTCGGCGGCGTCTCGGGCCCCCCTGGGGCCTCTTGGGGGGTTCTTGGGGGCCCCTTGGGGCGGGGGGGGGTAATCGATTGCAGCCACCCCCTCGGAGGCCACGATCCTCGTGAGGGGTGGCGAAAAATAGCCTCCCCCCTGGGGATCGCCCGGGACCCAGCCGGGACCCGGCCGGGGATCGGCTGGCCGGGGTACTTTTCGTCCGGGGGCCCCCAGGGGCCGCTCCGCGCGCGCGAACTAGAAATATTGTTAAGTAGTTACCGGAGATCTTAGCACGCCTCTGGCCCGTTGGGCCGGCGAATCTTTCGTCAGAGATTCGCCTGTAGGAGGGCATGCCCGACCTAGCGCTGCCGGGGGTCTATCGCCGATCTATCCGCGATGTACCATCGGTCCCAGCTCGATTTATCTCCCCCCTTAGCTGGCCCCACCCCCTGTCGTTGCCCCTCAGCTTGGCGTGGGGTCGGGGGTTCCGTGGAGGGGCCTCCGCAGAGGACATCTCGGGGAAGGTTTTCTCAGGTTGCCTCTCAGGCAGTATATCGAAGGCGCCCGTGGCGAATCGCCGTCCCCCCCCTGGGCCATCTCAGAGGTCTTGGAGGTACCTAGGAGGCCATCTTCAGCCATCTTGGCGCCGTCTTCGGAACGGGAAAACCGAAATACACGCAGCTGTCCTGGGTGCCAGCGGGATCGGCCGAGACAAGAAGACTAGCACAGCTAGTTAAGCGTCTGGCACGTCGGGCACCCCTCTGGCCAGCAACAGGGGGCGGCGGATACTGCAGGCACTAGTAAGGATGAAAGCAACTTTCCAAGGTGACCCTTGCATCCTTCCCCCTCGGCCCATCCTTGGCGACTTTCGCTGGCCGCGCCCCGCCCGCAAAGTGTCGGCCTGGCCTTCCGAGGCCCTTGCATCCTTATCGTGCGTTCTTTTTCTACGGGTTGATCGAAGACGCCTGCGGCGACTTACCGCCGCCCCCTGCCTTCTAGAATCGCCCATGTGGCCGAGAGTTGTGGCAAGAGCTCCGCCAAGCTATCGGACCATGTGTTCCCCCAACCGTTGTGGAAACCCTTCGGGGAACACTTGGGGGAGGATGGCGTGGAAGATTAGGAGGCGGAGGAGGAGGATGTGGAGGAGGAGGAGAAGGAGGAGGAGGAGGAGGAAGAGGAGGAGGAGGGGGCATTTTGGGAGCCTATGGGGACACTCTTGGGGCCACCTAGGAGCTTCCTGGGAGTCTCTTGGATGCATCTTGGGTGCCTCCTTGGGCCTATTGGGGGCCTTTGGGGGCTTCTCGGAGGCCTCTCGGGCCGTCTTGGTGGGCTCCTGGCCCGTCTGGCGCCGTCGGAAACCGTCTTGGGGGCCTCTCTGGGCCGACTTGGGGCCCTCTTGGGGTGCTCCAGGGCCGTCTTGGAAGCTTCCTGGGGCGTCTTAGAGGCCTCCTGGGCCGTCTTTGGGGGCCGTCTTGGGGCCGTCTTGGGGGCCTCTTGTACCTTCCTGCGGCCAGCTTGGAGGCGTCTTGGGCGGTCTTGGGGCGATCTTTGGGGGCCCCTTTGGCCGTCTCGGGCCGTCGGAATGCCGACAGGGAGCAAATGCCCAACTCCTTCAAACACCAAATGACAATCCATGATGTTGGCCTCTTCGGGCCTTCCTGGAGGCCCTCTTGGAGGCCTCTTGGGCCGTCTTGGGCCATCTTGGGGCCATCTTGGGCCGTCTTGGTGGGCTCATGGCCCGTCTGGCGCCGTCGGAAGCCGTCTAGGGGGCCTCGCTGGGCCGACTTGGGGCTCTCTTGGAATGCTCCAGGGCCGTCTTGGAGGCTTTCTTGGGCGTTTTAGAGGCCTCTTGGGCTGTCTTCGGGCCCTCTTGGGGCCGTCTTGGGGGCCTCTTGTGCCGTCCTGCGGCCAGCTTGGAGGCGTCTTGGGTGGTCTTGGGGCGATCTTTGGGGGCCTCTTGGGCCGTCGGAAGGCCGTCGGAAGGCCGAAAAGAGACACTATGCAAGTCCTTCAATGCTTTTAGCCGCTTCAGGCCATCTTCGAGGACCTCTCGGAGGAGGCCTCTTGGGCCGTCTTGGAGGTCTCTTGGGCACCTTGGGCAGTCTTGGGCCATCTTGGAGGGTTAATGGGCGGACTTGGAAGTATCTTGGAACCTCTTGGGCCGTCTTGGAGGCCATCTTGGCCATCTTGGAGGCATCTTGGGTGCCAGCTTGGCTGTCTTGGAGGCCAGCTTGGGCCATCTTGGAGCCGTCTGGAGCAGGAACAACCTTTGCAACGTGATATTGTGGTCCCTTCCGGGTGGCCAGCGGGCTGGGCTGGAGCCCCATGGGAGAGTTCTTTTGAACAAGAACCACACCCACAACCGAAAGGGTCAAGCATGCCAGGCACCCTTGTGGAAAGCCAGCAGGGGGCGGCGGACTGTAGTGGTTTTCGGCCGATCCTGCCACCGTGCCTTGGCTGTAGGTCGGAGGCAGGACGAGGAAGATAATAATGAGGAGGAGGAGGAGGAGGAGGAGGAGGAGGAGGAGGAGGAGGAGGATGGGAGGGAGGATGGAGGAGGAGGAGGAGGAGGAGGAGGAGGAGGAGGAGGAGGAGGAGGAGGAGGGAGGAAGGAAGAGGAGGAGGAGG